GAACAAAAGTAAGAGAAATTTAGGATAAGAATACGAATATGTTCTTGCATGAGGCCCAATGTCTTAGCACTCCACCAGGGTCATGGCTGACCCCAGACAGAAGGACCCAAGAAACTCAAAGGAACTCACTGAAGGTTGAACCAGTTTTTTTTTTAGGTGGGGGGGGCTTCTAATTCGATTCTAGGAATCTGGTCTAAAACAGGGTCCAAGGGGACTTCTATCATATAAAACGGCCCAAGGATTTGGGTCTTTGTGTTTGGGGTGGAGGAAAGGAACCTCTCTGTTYGGTTCCTAACATTTTAAGTCCACCTCTTTGTCTGAATCTTATGTTTAATCTCCACTACAGCTCATAATTATTATTTGCAAACGCAACATTGAAACACAAAGAAACTCAGATCATTTTCCAGCAGTTACACTCCACTACAAGAGCAAAATCACTCCAGAAACATAAAGTTGTGACCAAATTATAATAAATGGATTTAACACTTCTACACTCAGCCTTCTGTTGCATCAGAGAGAAGTAAAACCTTCCTTTACTGTGTGTKTTTTAGAATCTGATGTCAGATTGTGTTACAGCATTTGTTTAGAGGAACAAATASTAACAACTGTAACAAATTTAAATATATTTTCAAAATGACATACAAACATACTGTTGATATGTATAATGACAGAGTACAGTCTTGCTGACTTTATGTACTAAAATCAGTTTTACTGTGTAGCACATTTAATGTTGTTTTGTACCAACCTGAATTTTTTCTCTGCTGGTGCAGCTGGCGATGTGTGACTCATTTTGAATGTTGTGTTTGCACATCACAAGTATTCCTCCTATTCAACTGGGAGTTAACAGCTATAGAGGATTTAGACTGGCTGTTGTGCAAGTTTGGGTTTTATTGTTTTTAATCTGCTGAACAATCAGCCACAAAATGTCAGAATGGAAATACTGAGGAAGAGAGACAAACACCAACAGACTTCATTTGTCTCGTCCACACTTAACTTCGGAACGTAAAGGCCACTTAACTTCGGAACGTAAAGGCAACAGACTTTAATAAGTGTTCAAGTTTCCTGAAAGTGAGTCATAGAAGTTCAGGTTAGCTTTAGCAAACTAAGTACATTCAGATGTCGAAGGTCAATAAGCAGGGTTTCTAACTTACAACAATCTTTTGTTGGCTCTGTCCCATCTTCTTTTTTTTAGATGTGTCGCTGCCATCAAATTCCAAGTGATCTTGTTTTTCTTAGGCTCAACATTTGATGTGTTTACTATCATTTGCAAATGATTAGATTCTGTTGTGTGACCACACATCAGTCTGTGAAGCAACAAGTCAGATACAATTAATTCCAAACATTTAGCTTGAAATATTTCCACAGGGGAACATCTGGAACGACATCTTGAAAAGTTGCTTCCATGTGTAGCTCAGACTAATAAAAACACAGTTTCAGTTAAATACATTTTTTAAAGTTCTTATGTGTTGTTTTATTGGTTCAGACATCGTATAATGTTGCTGACATTAATGCACAACCCTCTCTAGTTTTAGTCAATGACTCCCTGACATCCTGAAACTGACAAATATTCCCTGAGTCAAAAATATACATAATGTAACATTATCTGTCTGATGAAAAATATACTAGTTTACTAGTTTTCATTGACAATTTTTATGTTAAAACGTTTCAGTTGTACTTTTATTTTCTGTTAAAACAGTAAGAAAACCTTTAGTCTGCCAAGGGTCTTTTATTTTGGTTAGAGGGTGTGGCATCTCAGCYTGGCTTTTCAGTTTAAGTTCACGTCTATTTATAGTGGTGTAGTGGTCACCTAGGGAAGTAACACAAAGCTCTTTATAAACATTTAAAACCTGAGGAAAATAGGAAGCGTCAAACATTTGCTTCTAAACAGGATGTCAGTCTTTTCAGTAATCTGTTTGTTTTGATGTTTTGTTGTGAGTTTAGTTGTAAAACGGGTTTGAAGCTGCAGTGGCTAAGCTGTTTCAATATGTTTGCCTTCAGTTTATGTTTAAAAGCCACACCACTAAGATTAAATATCTACTCTGAATATTTGCTATTAAAAATTAGAAAAGCAGCTGATACTTTTATGGTCAGTACTGCCATATAACCATAGATGATGTAATCTATACAGAGATTCTTAACCCATGGGCCGTGGTCCACTTGTGGGCCGCGAGCGCCACCTTGAGGGCCTCAAAAGAACAACAGTTTTTAACTTTGGGCCGCAGAGGGCCGTGGGACCTCACTGATTTTGAATTAGGTGCAATACACTTTCTCACCACTAGTAGCAGTTGTGCGCCACTCAGTTGTTTAACAACTTTTTTAATATGTAGAAGAAGAAACTTAGAAAACTGCCGAGAATGGATATATATTTTAAATGAAAAGTAGAAGGCAAAAATGAAAGTAATTCATCAATAATAATAATAATAATAATAATAACACTTCATTTAAACTTCACGGGAGAAGTTTAGAAATAAAACACAGCTCAGGTAGTTCTGGCACACGTTCGGTCCATCATGGAGAAAGTGTTTTTTTAAACTCCCACATGATTTAGCAACAATAAAAACCGCTAAGAAGAAACTTGGAGGCTCGCATTTCCCAAACTTTCATAAGAAAAATACTCACTACGCCACAAGCATCGTTATCGTCTCGCCCCTGAACGAGTTAAAATGTAACTAAACTTACTGTCGCAAAGAGATGCGTGCAAGAGCGGAGCTTTAAACATTTACCATATTTCGGTTTTTCGTCCAGTTCCATGATAAGGAGTGTTTCCTCTGAAGCTCAGCTGCTCACAGACGACGGCCACTGCACATTTCCAACCTCAACCGCGGCTAATATATAACAGCTTACTTTGAGTTGAAGTACGCTCCACACTCTCGGGAGTCCCGTAAACATTTTACAGGAGTTTCTTTGGAGGAGTGTTTGGACCAATCAGAAATCAGAAGAGCGTGATTGACATAACGGTCCACCAATCGCTGTCCGCGACTGGATTAATTTTTAGCACCGTTATCTGAGAGCCGTGTGACTCATTTAATGCTTGTTATCAGTGACGTAGTCATGAGTGAATTAACAGTTGGGCCTAAATGAAAGTGAGTGGGAAACAAAAATATACATAGCTTATAAAATACATGGAAAATGAAACAAAATAAATAAATGCTTACTTTGAAGTTGCCAACCTTGACCTCAGGAGTCATTATAGGTCTACTGCTGGATAATTTAAACAGCTGGCAAAAAGACCTAAACCAAACCATTTAAATATAAGACCTCAAAATCAAACTTGAGCATAACCAAGCATTATTTGTTTGTTTGTTTGTTTGTTTGTTTGTTTGTTTGTTTGTTTGTTTGTTTGTTTGTTTGTTTGTTTGTTTGTTTGTTTGTTTGTTTGTTNCTGATAAGCCTGAGTGGTCTGTTGACTGATCTTTGTATTTGTTCAAATAATTGTTATGGGCAGGTTACAATATAAAAATGTTTGTCATATTCATGTCT